GTCGACTGCCCTTTTCGAGATTTTGGACATTTACTAGTGAGTTGGGTCATGGAGATTCATCTCTAGGAGTCATTCAAACCATGTCTCACTGCATCGAAGACTCGATCGACTCCTCGTTGTTGGTCTGTCGACGTCTTGTCATTAATGTTTCTTTAAAAATGCTTCATTAATGTTCATAGTACACATCTTTTCATTGACATTCTTTGTTGACTTTCTAGTAGCTGAAATTCCAAGTGTAAGAGTCTCTCACAAATGTGTCTTGTTCATCTAGAAAAACCCAAATGTGTAAAATGCTCCCTCGTGTTTGACACCCCCCCCCCCCCCATGAATTGACCCCAATAGGGTATCATGAGCCTTTAGTTCGAGTTAAGGGACCGACTTACTTGAATCGAAATTTCCTACTAGGTAGAAGGTGGTCCGTTGAAAAAAGTGTCAACGACAGTACAATAGTATGTGAAAAAAAATTCATTTTAGGGGGAGTATTGTGGATAGACTCACACTTGAGGTGAAATGTTGAAAATGAATTACAAGTGTGAATAGTGTAGAAAAACCCCACATTAATTAGGAATGTGGAGACTTGAGTATTTATAAGTGAGAGAGAACTTACACACATATCATCTTAAAATTTTGAATAAATATGTAACGTGTCTCTCAAAATAAATGTGTTGCTCATCAAGAAAAATGCAAATGTATAAAATCCTTCCTCCTGCTTACCCCAACACATTTTTCATAATTTAAACCAGAGAAAAAGATATTGACATTATGCATAGTTTGATACCCTATTCAAAATAAATCATTGAGAAAAAGATATTGACATTATGCATAGTCTGATACCCTATTCAAATATGTGGTTTACTTCTTTTGAATTTTCATCCTTTAAATAGGATACTCAATTCTTAATAAGGAAGGATTTTGAAAAACATTTTTTTTTCAAAAATATAGAATTTCTTTTAATATTTTTAAAATTTTTTGTTTGTTTGTTTAAAATGATAAAAATAGTATTTATTATTAATATATATTTATTTTTTAAAGTACTATAACAATAAAAATTATATTTGATTTTAAACAATTTTTGTCTAAACGGTTCAAAACACTTCTTCAATATACATAAATTTTAAATCTCCAAATTAAAGGGTTTTTGATATTATGAATAAAACTAAACCCTTCAAAACTCTTTCAACTAAAATCTTTCTATCATTTCTGTAACGCCTCGATTCTGATTTCTCATTTTTGTTGAATCTTTTATTTTATTTGGGTGATTATTATTTTATTTGTGGAATTGGTGTGTTAATATGTTATGTTTGCATATTGTGTTATTTTATCGTTTTTGAGAGTTTTCAGGGAAATTAGGTTGAAGGGTATTTTAGATATTTCTTAATTAATGTTAAGTTAGAAATTTTACGTGAGAAAATGAATTATTAGATATTTTGTGAGAAAATGATTTATTAGATATTTTGAGAGAAAAAGTAATAGAAAAGAAATAGAATAGAAAGATATAAGAGAGAAAAAGGAGAGAAAAGAGAAATAGAAGAAAGAGAACAGAAAGAAAGAAGAAAAGAGAAGAAAAGAGAAGAAAAGAGAGAAAGTTTGGAAAATCATCAAGAACACTTCTAGGAATCGATTTGACCAGGTAAGGGTGTGAAATATTGTTATCTTATCATTGTGTATGATTATGTATGGTTTTGTTTGGATTGTTTTGGTTGTTTTTCCACCTATTTCCATTTTAGGTCGAATTGGTAAAATCGATAGAAACCGATGTTTTCACGGTTAGAATTCGAAATAAATTGCGTAGTTTAGTCGAGGAATGTTAGGTCGTGACTATTGAAACTTGTTTGATTGAATTCAGATGATTTTGTAACTTTTGACATTTGTGGATAATTGAGTGTTTGAGATTTGAGTGGAAATCGGATGTCGTAGAAATTGTGTTTAATGGTTCTAATTCACTGCTATATGTTAGGTGAGTATGAGTATGTGTTTGTTTTGAAGAAAAGGATTGAATCGGTCGGATTTTCGGGCAAAAATGCAAAATCCCGTAGCAGTTTTTAGGCAAAATTCTGGTTTTTCGGAAAACTTCAAAAATTCGTATCTTTTGATCCGTAAGTCGGTTTTAGTCCCCGTTCGAAGCGTTGGAAAGCTAAAGAGATGTTCTTTCTAGGAAAAATGGTTTTGATGTCAGTGTATGATCCAATTATAGCAGAAAATTCGAAACGTGTCATTTTGTCAACTTTTACCGTCGTGAACGGGTGCGTTTGATGTGTTATCATACTGTAAGCTCGCTAGGAGAATCACTAGCGAGTGAGGTAGCGAAGTGTTCGCTAGGCGAGCACACAGCGAGCATTCCCAAACTTGGACAGAATCAAAAAGACCAAAACTCGCTGGAGCGAGTGAAGCAGCGAAGGGCTCGCTAGGCGAACTATTCTGCTCGACTAACGAGCATGTCAGCACAATACTTTTCCTATAAGTAGCATGGGCTACTTTTTGTAAAAAAATATCTTTTTCATCTGCTTTCTTTTGTTTTTGCTGAAAAGTGATATTTGTGACCTAGAAACCCACTTTCTCATTATTCTTCATCTCTTAACAAGATTTTCCAAAAAGAAGGTGGATTCTCATCCAATATCGATTCTTCGACTCGAATGTTGATCAACCTTCTCCCGAAACGGGTAGCTTGTGTGCTGTTATATGATATGTTGTGGGTAGCCGTATGGCGTGAATCCTAGATTATGGAATATATTGTGAATGTATATAGATTGTATGTGATAGAATGAGATGAATGCATGAATATATTGTAAATATGTATGCATTTCAAGAGTGTCTTGAGTCATTTTGTATGTGAAACATAATGATCTACATTCTTGTGTTGTGTGATTCTAATGAGAATCTGTTGTAACGTCGTGTGCCTATGTGATGTGTGAGCGATGATTACAAACGATTGTGTGCCTAGGTGAGATGTGAGCAATCAGATTGTGTGCCTATGTGAGGTGTGATCAATCCACAAATATTGTGCGCCTATGTGAGGTGTGAGCAATGGGTGAAAATCGTAGGCCCGACGGGGAGTTACATTGGTAACGAGCGATGGTTCCAATAAGTTCCTGAGTGAACTTGAGATGATTGAGTCGGTACCGCATTGCATTTGCATAAAGTCGTGAGTCGGTCTCTATGATTTGCGTTTATCATCTTTATAATTGTGCATTGGTGAATAAACATAAATGTGTATGTTTATGTGGAATGATAAAAATTGTGAAAGTATGCATGATGAATATGCTTGGTTATATATATATATATATATATATATATATATATATATATATATATATATATATATATATATATATATATATATATATATATATATATATATATATATATATATATATATATATATATATATATATATATATATATATATATATATATATATATATATATATATATATATATATATATATATATATATATATATATATATATATATATATATATATATATATATATATATATATATATATACACACATTGTGATGTATATGAGTGAGTTGTGATAATTGTGGTGAGAATGTAGAATATGTTTATTTTTATGCTAAGATATATAATTATATGCATTGTTGTTATGATAATATTTCTCATCTTTCTGCTGTTTTATGATACTCTATGAGGCATTGCAGAGTAGGTATGCTGGTGGTCTTTTTGTGAAGCGTGTCCTCATTCTTTTGGTCGGTCGGCTCTGATATGTAACACTGGGTAGCTAGGATGTACATGATTATTTTGTGATACATTTGTATATGTATCTTGTTGATGAATGTTTATATAAACATGACTTATGTTGTTGAATCATACTGGATGATATATATATGTTTGACGTTATCAATGTTTAGATTTTCCGCTTTTATTCTAAATTTTGAGATGTGGGTGTAAGGACTAAGTTTTTCTGTTGCAAAGTTACCTCATTGTCGCATATCTTTTATTGAGCAGATGTTGTATGTATTAATTTCAAGCGTAATTTGACGTGCCTCTTTTATACTATGTTTATAATTATACTCTGACGAAATTTTTAATATGTGACTAAATAATTATGTAATTAATTTAGGGTATAAAAAAAGAGGTATTACAATTTCCAACAAATCCTTCATATTTTAAAAAAAAAATAAAAAATCCTGTCATCTCTTCTCCTCCATACTCACAAAGAAAACTTTAAAAAAACACATCATTTAAATACCACAGTGTTAGTCTTCACCGTTCACTTAAAGTGAATACTAGAAATATTTTACAAATGAAGACTAATGTAGAATATTCATTCATATTCTTAGTCACTAAATTGTGAGTGCCTCGCAAATTACTCATTTAATTTGAGGAGAAAGTAATATACATAAAAGCAGACGGTACCCTTTTCCCACCAAATGATCCTAGCATTTGAACTTATCATTGCATCTTTGTACTTTCCAGTCTCTATTTGCCTGGCTACTGAAAACTTGTCCTACCTTTCACACAATGATGCTAATTATTCCAAACACACTCTATATGTCCATTTCATAGCCCTCTTAATTCCATTTTTTAAACATATAAAAAAACAGAAATCATATGTATTTGTACATTAATAAACCGACAAATCAAACTTTATCATCTTACTTTATGTTGAAACAGAAGACCTTTCCATAAACTACTTACAACATTAGAAAACAAATTATTCCCTTTAGAAAGTCAAGAATGTATTGTCAAAAGTTTCAATACTATAATGATAATGATAATAATAAAAAATAAAAACATTATAAACCATAATGTTTGTTTAATACTATCAGGGACAGCACTACCCGGATTTCCAGCTCCGAGACAACACCAATAACATTAACAATGACCCTTTTTTTTTGTCAAAAATAAATAAAACATGAAACATCTATTCCTATAAATATTAATACACTCACAGTTCAGAAACCCTAACCTTAAAAACACCACTTGTTTGAAACCTCCTCAGAGTTCTTTTTCAGAGGTTTCATTTCATTCTATTCATGGAAGGGTACGGGTACGGGTCGGATCACGGCCCATACGGAAGTGATAGAAGAGTCGAGATTGTGAGCGGGAAAAGCTACGGTTTCAGTCAGAGCTACTACGCGAGTCGGACTGAGTTATCTGGCGAGACGACTCAGGCGAGTCACGGCGGAGCGGCACCAGTGGCGAAGCCTTGGAGTTTCGGAGACGCGAAAACGAAGAGGAGAAAGAGAATAGCGAGGTATAAGGTTTATGCGGTGGAGGGTAAGGTGAAGGCAACGCTCCGGGATGGGATCCGATGGATCAAACATACGTGTTCTCGGATTGTCCATGGGTATTGATTCGTAGTTTGTTCTACCCGTGACCCGGTTCAGTATCTATCAATGTCTCTTTGACTTTGACTGCTTTTATCGAGGAAAATTCATCAGTTGTGTAATTAATTTTCTTTTTTCGAATAATTTTTTAATTTGTGCTTGTTTTATATGGATAGTGTGTTTGGTTTAGTCCCAATTGCCTAAAAAAACAAAGCTACATCAATCTTCTTATTATGCGATATAGTTCTGCAAGTGACTATTAGACACAAACTTAGTTACCTACAAATGGGAAAGTAACTTGCAAGCCTCCTTGGGGTGTTCTAATAGATCATTAGTTCAAAGGAGACAAATGATTTCAAACCATGCTTCAATTAACTGTTGAGGTCTTCACATAACCAATATTTTCAAGCTTGTAGTTTGAATCCAAATTCTTTGCTTCCTACTTATATGCATCAAAATTGGAATAAAATGATTTATTTAGTGTTCAACTTCAAAGGGCCCAACGTGGCCGAGAATTTTTTTATTAAAACTATGAGAGAAAAAGTATTCTCATGGATGTCACCATAAAATAGAAATGTGATGATAACAAAGAAGTTACTAATAGTAATAACTTTAAAATTGATTTTGTTGAAGATATACATGAAATAGGAGTTGATATGACTTCAGTTTTAAGAGTTGAATATGTTGATAGAGTTTTTAGGATTGTAAAATGGGAAGAACACTTCTAAAACTTATAACTAGAAGAAAGTTCATGTATGATAGTGTTAGTATGAGATTTTTTATTTAACGTTAATGTTTTTTACATGAATGTGAAAATGAATTCATTAAAATGTGCTTTTTGTGTCTACGTAGGATTCTTTTGAGATTTGTAGTTCATAAAAAGGTATAGAAATTCATCAAAACACGACAAAGGCGATACTCAATGCAAGCTCGCTGTTGAATAAGAAGTAACTTCAATCTTTGTTGGACAAGATTAATTTTCTGAGAAGGTTTATTTCAATTTTAAGTGGCAGAACAAAGACATTTTTGCCACTACTATGTTTAAAGAAAGAAGAATGGTTCAAATGAGAATCAGAGGATCATAAAGCTTTTGATGAAATTAAAAATCATTTTACGAATCCTCTTATTTTGTTACCTCCAATGAGAAATCGGTCTATGAAATTGTATATTTCTGATCTACATTAACAATAGGAAGTACGTTAGCTCAAGAGGATCATGATTGCATCGAAAGATCCATTTCTTATCTTAGTTGAGTTTTGAATGATTAATAAATTAGGTATAGCCCAATAGAGGTTGTTACCTTTAGTCAACTTATATGTGCTACTTATATGTGCTAGTGTTAGAATTCTGATCATTTCTCCAAAAGAAATTTCAACAAAATTAAAATTTAGAATTACAGGTTATTACTCAAACAATAAGATTGAGTATGAAACATTAATTGCAGACCTTAAAATTCTTTTGGACCTAGGTGCAAAAGGAGTCAAAATTAGAGGTGATTCAAAATTGGTTGTGAAACACCTGACAAAAGAGTACAAATGCATCAAGTAGATTTATTGATGTACTTTGTCAAAGACAATTTGTTATTAAGAAGGTTTGATGAATTCGACATCAAACATGTTCCCCGAATCGAAAACCAAGATGCTAATGACTTAACACAAATTGCTTTCGGTTATAGAGTTTCTAAGGAAATGTTAGAAGAATTAATTGAGGTAAAAAAGAAGTTGATTTCGGCCAATCTTTTCCCATTTGAGTTATCAAATTCAAAACTGGTGGGGGTAGAAGGGTTAGATGAATTAAAAACTTTGTAGAAAATTTTCCCATTGTTAACCTATTGACAAATGATTGGCGAAAACCTATTGTTGATTTTTTTGAAAAATCCAATAGGGGATATCAAATATAAGGCTTTAAGTTATGTGATTATTGTTAACAAATTGTTTTAAAAAAAACTCTAGATACTTGCTTAAATGCCTTAGTGAGAGTGAAGATTATTTCGAAACTTTTGTTGGCCATATCGGGTCATGTGGTGCTCATCAAGTAGGCCACAAGATGAAATGTCTTTTGTTTCGACAAGGTTTGTATTGACCAACTATGTTAAATGAATATATTGAATTTATGAAAGGTTACTAAGAATGTCAGAAACATGCAAGTATTCAACATGTTCCTGCAAGTAAGTTACACTCTTTTGTTAAGCCTTGGTCATCCAAAGGTCACAAATACATTTCAGTTGACATAAATTATTTTTCCAAATGGATAAAAGTTGTTCCTTTGACCAATGTAGATCAGGAAACAGTAATTAATTTTATTTAAAATCAAATTATCTATAGGTTTGGAATTCCTGGAACTCTAACTAGTGATCAAGGTAAAAAATTTACTAGTTGAAAGATGATTGAGTTTGCTTCAAATCTAGGAATCAAACTTTTAACTTCTACTTCTTATTATGCTCAAGCAAATGGCCAAGTAGAAACAATTAACAAAACTATAATCGTCCTGATTAAAAAATAGGTTGCTCTAAAGTCAAAAAACTGGCATAAAACTTTAGACCAAATATTATGGGCTTGTCAGAATTCCCCTAAAGAGACAACTAATTATGCTCTATTTCGACTAATATTTGGTCATGATGTCGTTTTTCTTGTTGAAATTTAGTTACACTCAACTAGAATTCAAAGGCAAGTTGAATTTCATTATGACCATTATTGAAAAGTTATTTTGTCTATGGATCAAAACTATATAACTTTAAATAAATAGTAAACAAACTGGGAATTCCCATTTCAAATTAGCAAGGTATTTTCAAATAATACCTACGAAGTTAAAGAGTTGGGTCCTAAAGGTCGAACTCTAAGAATAAATCATGAGTGCTTACTGAAGTACAAACCTACATTGTAGGAGATTTGAGTAACAGAAAAATAATGCATTAAAAAGTGCTAATTTAGAGACCCTGTTCTAGTTTTTAAAATCAGACCCTATATATTTATGCATTAATGTAAAAAATATTATTATTTATAAATCAACAATTTTAAAAAATATAAATAAATAACATCAAAAATATAAAAAAAATAAATGAAAGTAAAAGTTGCAAAATATAAAAGTAAAAGTGGATTTTATCGGGTCTCAAATAAAGGCGCAACATGAACAATTTTTACAATATTGATAACAAAGTGTTTTAATTAATAAAGAAACAAAAAATCAAATTGTAAAATACGAAAGTAAAAGTTGACTTTTCTAGGTCTCAAATTCACAATGTTAATTGTAATCGAGTATCAATTCACAATGGTAATGGTAGAGACATATAAACATTATCAAAATTATATTGAAAATATTCTCACACATAAGAACCTTAAAATTTTAACACATATTGTTAGGGGCCCGACTGCACTTGTACAAAACATGATTAATCACCCACATGAATTAATATATTTTTAGTGGTATAAAACATTACGAGTTGATGATGATAACGAATTGGTATGTTGTGGTCCTATGGTGGCGATTCAGGAGCAAGATAGACCTGAGTTGTTCATAAATGGTATCACATTCATTGTTGAGTACATCTGCATTCGTTATCTGCATATATATTTGGATGATTATGTTAGTATTTGTGAATAAGAATACTTTGGTGTTGTATGCAAATAATTTGTGTTGATTAACTGCTAATGTTTGTTTAGGCTACCCTTGCATATTTTTGCACCGTTAATTATTATGAGCATATTTTCACTCCTGTGTTGTTTGTGTGGTTTTGTACTCCTTTGTGGGATACAAAAGAGCAGGTAGCTAAGTAGTTGCTTAGAGGCTGAAAAATGGCATGTAGGTTGTTCTTCTTTTTCCTATTTTACGAGCTTATTTAGTATTCGTTGCTCGGATATGTAAGATTGGACGGGTAAACTTTTATTTGCTAATTGCTATTGGTTTTGATGTCATTTATGTGGAAGGTGTTTTCTGTAACTATGTTGGAGTTATTAAACATGTTTGGTTGTTGAATTGTTTTAAATTGACTATTCCGCTGGGATGAGTCAATGTTAAGGAGAGCAAGTGATGACATGTGTTTAATTTAATGCATGTTTTGAGTAACCCGTGTTACAGTGAAGGTTTTTATTGGTTGTGAGTAACACCCTATATGTATATTTGTTTTATTCTTGCATTATTTCGTATTTCAAAGTTAGGATGTTAAATTGATGAATGCATTTGAGCTGATGAATTATAAGTCAGCAGTCACACATGCTGAGACAAATCATAAGCAGGACTCTGATGATGATCGAGAGGATGTAGATGCTACCACCTTTAAACAGGTTGTTAGTTGTCTTAGATATCTGTGTAACACCAAACCTGACATCTATTATGCAGTTGGAATGGTGAGTAGGCTTATGAGTAAAACAAAGTGGTCACATTACCAAGATATAATCAGAATTATGAGGTAAGTAAAAGGAACTTTGAGGCATGAAATTTTGTTTCCATCTAGAGTATAAAATGTTGTTGAGTTGATATGCTACTCAGACTTTGACCAGCGTGGTGATAAAGTAGACTTATAAAGCACTATAGGATACATATTTATGTATCTAGGAGCGCTTATTTCTTAGTGTTCCAAGAAGTAATCAGTGGTTGCATTGTCAACCTGTGAAGTTCAATACATAGCTGATGCTTTGTCAGCTTGCCAGGCTGTTTGACTTATGAATTTGGTGCATGAACTGAAGTTCAAAGTGAGCAAATCATTCAAGTTGATGATTGACAACAAATATTCCTTAAGTCTTGCTAAGAATCCAGACCGGCATGGAAGAAGAAATCACACTGATAATTAGCACCATTTTATGCACAATCAGGTTCAAAATGGAGTACTTGAGGTTGTCATGTCAACGCTTAGAAGTAACTCACAAATGTGTTGATCAAAACAATCAAAACTGAACACTTCATCAATTTGAGAGATGAAATTGATGTTGTGGATTTTTAACTTGAATGTGAATTAAGGGATGGTGTTTAATGTAATTTAACATTCAAGATTAGTTTCATTTTCATTTACATTTAGTTTTGCATTTGAATTT